ATATAACATCAATATTAGAATGTTCAATTTAGGATCTCAAAGATTGGGTTAGGAGAAAAAGGAAAATCGGAAAATATGAGCATTTTACAAACCAAAGGAAAAAAAAGACATAGTCTGACCTCCAGCTCAGTACCTTGCAGCGGTCGACCCGATGTGTGTGTGTGGCCCATTTTTCTCACCAGGTCCAAATCAAAATGGGTCAACCGGTGGTTCGACCCACGGGACGACAACCTTGGACTTATCACTGCATCATCAGTCCATCCGGCATTAGAAATTATCGATGATTATATGCATATCTATATATGTTCGTCCGTATTAGGTCAGATAATTTATTATGTGATACAAATCTATAAATTTATTCAAGAATATGATAAGTGTATTTGAATTATTTAAGGTATTGAGATTCACGCCTTTTTAAAATTTTATTATTGCTAAAATATGAGGCCATAAAAGCTAAATCCTAATTAGTTTAAGTAGAATTACATATCATTCAGATCGAGGAGAGTACCATGGATATTATTCACTCCAAAACATGTTAAATAGACCGGATAAAATGTGTTAGGTCAAAGTTGTCATCCCTAATCAATATCATTGTAAAAATACTCAGCCTCACAATTCTTTTCTTAATTATGAATGTGTTTTCAATATTTAGTTCCTAGAATTGAAGCCTTCTAATTATAATAAGTTTCAATCGATGTTACATCTATGGAATAAAAATTCAAGTTTTAGTTGTGATAAATGGCCCCTAATAAATTGTTTTTCTATAAAGATAATCCCTATAAAATATAGTCACAATAACACATGCTTAGGGATGGATGGTTAATTGAATTGTCATGAATTTCTTGCTATGTGATTTTTACTTATCCTCCAAGGTGGTTCTCCCTATTGAGGCAAATAGTTCCGTAGTATTATGCCAAAAAATGACAACATCATTATGTCTAAGATGTACATCTCAATTATTTAGTCATTAAGTATGTTTTTATTTCAATTATTGTTAAGATTGTATCTATATCACATTGTTTTTAGTAATTATTTTTGCAGTTCTACATCTCAAATAAATATTGTCCTTGGAAAATCATTAAATCAGTCAAATCATGCTTCATTTAGATCTTAAAAATTGAAGGTAATAAGATATTTAAGTTAGCATAATTATAAATCATTATGGAAATATAATTACTATATTCATGACTAGAAAAACAACTTGAATTTGCAAATACTTATCAGTATGTGTACCTCAAATGCAACGATCCATTTATTCACGTTCACGAAAGCTAACAATTGCCGAAATCCCTCCACAAACATATATACTCGGCTGCACCCCAAGCCCTAACCCACGTCAGAAAAGAAAAATATGTACATGGGTACTTAAACCTAACTTCTAACACAAGTCAGTGATAGAATGAGGGGACATCCCCATCCTTATCTCCTACAAATGAAGACAATGGAGTTGGAGTTTCATATCAAGATCACGGTTACAACATTGCAGACTCTATAAGTGAGTTCGACAGATAAGGAAAAGTAAATTCTTACTTGCGCATAAATTATATTTCATCATTAAAATTTTATCTCAATACAATGCAAGAGAAGAAGAAAAAGCATGCCTATGGTGAAGGTTGTAGGTATGATGAGAGCGAGGATTTTGGAACCCGAGATTGATTAATCAAAAGATACTAAGTATAGGAGAATTGGCCAAAACTAAGGAGAGAAATAGACAACAAGATAAAGAATAATTCATGCTATATGAATATTAAGCGAATTGAGAGCCATAGGAATAAAATTTATAAAAATCCAAGGATATGTAATAATGAATTAAGTTTTGGGGACAATAAGGTTTGGATGGCTAAAAATATAAAAATGGTTGAGAAAATTCTTACCCTCAATGATAATCATAATAATAACTAATAATTCATCAATACATCCCCTCTAAAAGATTATTTTCCTCGAGATTTGGTATAAACTAATTCATATACTTCCTTTTCAAGGTTCGACCGCTCTTTCACTTCCAATTTAATCCAACTCCTGCAATGAATTCATTACGACAAAATAAATGTCTCAATTGAAAATGTAGTTGCACCATCCTTCTTGGTCATAATTGTTGTTTCTTTGACACCGAGATATATGCCGAACCTTCCATGTAAATTCCACAAATTCGTTGAAGACAATTAATATGAGTTGTAACGACATAAGCGACAGTGTTGGGTGATAGGATAACTAGACTATGATACCATTTGATGAAAGAGAGGATCTTGGTATCCATGATTGATTAACATAAAGATATAATTAGAGGAGAATTGGACAAAAATACGGAAAATAAATAGACTATGAGATAATAAATAATTAGAGGAGATCAAACTATAGAATTTAGAGAGCCCATAAGAGACTTGATAAATCCAAGAAGATGTAGAACAAGTATGGAGAGGACAAAATTAAGAGCATTAGAGAGGAAGAACAGAAAGAGGTTTCAGATAATTGATAAGGTAAATCTTTTGTTCTTCTTTAGTAATTTAACTTAATGAATAAAGTACATTTTTGTTAGTGAATATAAGGATGTTGATGGGGAAGCAATCTCAAATAAGTTCAAAAAAATTGCATTCATTTTGATATCGAGGTAAATCTAAATGCAGTTTGATACAATTTTTATATGTCACTTCCCTTACACATGTTTTTTTTTACTTTTGATAAAAAATTTGGACAATAATCCGTTAGGATGTTATCAAAAAAAGTTATGATATGTATATTTCTTTTTGATTTTTTTGGTGATGAAATAATTTAAATTATTTTATAAACCCTACAAAAATGTGTCATGTCTCCTACAATTATAACTTTTGTTTAAGTTATTGACCAAATGAATCCGACCATCGGATCGGGCCCTACTCTAGTAAGTAAATGCATGGGAATTTTTTTTTTTTTCCACAGAGAATGCAGCTCATAAGTTTTAAATGCTACAATTTCATAAACCCAAATAGGAAAACAGAAGTAGCAATCATGGTGCACAGATAATGGTTTAATGCTTGTAAATAGGATGATGAATTATCAATAGTTATAGACAAGGATTGTGAAACCGTATTGTGAAACCGTATTGGAGTTTATACCAGAAAAGTTAATAGTAGAATATTATGTACTGAAATTGTAGTTTCAATTATTTGTTACCGCTAAAATCACCTACCGATTTGAGTCTGGCATTCGATATTTTTTATCCGGTTGATTGGTACGGTAGAGTTTCTAAAATATGATTATATTAGTGGTTCAAATACCCTACAAATATGTTGGGGGGAAAATCTTACAAGTAGGATGTAATATTGAGAAACACATGATTTGCTGGCAACTTGTATATATTTGATTAATGCAATAAAGAACAAATAAGTACTGTCAGAAATCAGTGGTGGTTATAATGATGAGTACAAAATGGGTTCGATTAGCTTGCTAATTCCTTTAAGTTGTTGAAAAAATAATACTCTATTAATTATAGTTTTTTTTTTATTAAATTTTTGTTGCATTTAATAATCTTTGGAAATTAAAAATTTATATTATTATATTTTTTTTTAACTATCATTGCACTGAGACAATTATCATTGCACATGTAAATTGATATCATTGCATTGATACAATTACCATTGCACTGAAAAAAGGCAAGTAATTAATATAGATTTTTAATTCAGACATATTATTAAATGCAACACAAATTAATTACCTTAAAAATCTATAATTAATAGATAGTCATTTTTCCAACCCTTTAAGGGAAGTCATGCTATGTCACATGTACAAAATTAGGTTATGCTATTGAACCTGACAAATAATAATAATTCCTAAACCACAATTAAATTTTCAGATGTTGAAATTCAAATCGGTGATGACACGGGGACGACCTAGCCCAATGCGCTGGTGTTAAATGAACTTTATGTCTTGAGCAAGTTATTGGGCCCGACAGGCAACCCATATTGGCATTGCTTTATCGGTGCGACGGCAGAGGCACAACTTCTTCAGCCATATGAGATTGGACCCAATCTATTCTTTGGACCTCCAAGGCCGGTGATTCTTCTCTCCCCCCTCTCGAGTGCCATCACCCGGTCTGAAAAAGAGAGCGGAAAGCTTGACTTCATCGTTTGCACTGACCAGTGATCACTTCACTTACAAAGCACTTTCCCAACAATCCTATCCAGCTCCCACACTCAAAATAAGAAAAGAGAAAACATCTGTCAAATGGAGGCCGAAGTTAGAAAGTAAGTAGATTCGTAGACAATAGCAAAAGAAAATAGATCGAAGAATCGAGAGTCTCATTCACATTATTATGTTTACTTTGTTGCGTTCTCTCGCTCCTTTCTTGCGGAGCTGCATACCGGAAAAACCCTTATTCGAATTCAATCCGATTTACCCTCTTTCGAAAATGACCCAGTGGATTGACTTTAAACTCCAGCGGAAGGGACGAACGTAATGACCCAGTGGATTGACTTTAAACTCCAGCGGAAGGGACGAACGTAAAACGCAGAGTATCAATTAATAAAGGTAAATTTACGTGATTGCCCCTCCATGAAACCCTCTGAGGCTTGGAAATTCTAATTCCTAGAAAGCCAACCCATGTTTTGGCTTTCTATCTTTTTAGATTGGTTTTTCAGCTCTCCAAAAGGTAATTTGCAGCATACATGAACAAAGGAGTACATAAATGAGGTGGAAAATGGAAGCCGTATCCATGGACCATGAAGGTGGGACAGATAATGGGTCAGAAAGTCCTGTAATTTATATAGTACAGTGAATTTCCTAGATTGCATTCTTCTGCCAAATACTTTCAGTTCCCGCGTGGCGTATCAACGGGCTTACTGTCCTAGTAAAATGTTATCAAGCGTAAAATGCTATTAAACAAGAATAACATCTGCATGCAACTTCACATATACAACAATAAATTTAGGGCCGAGAGAGTAGAGACACCTTCACCAACACTGGACTGGATTTATACACTTAACTATATTTTATGAAAGGTTAACCAGCACTGATATGTGCAGAATTCATATATAAACGTGCGAGTCCATCACCTTTACTGTTCTTGAGCGCTTGCTCACGTTCTCTTCAATTCCCAACCATTTCTTGATGAGTTGAAATACCTTGTCATCGCGTAGCAGTGCACGGTGCTCACCCGGGATTCCTACCCTTTCAACTGCCGTGTATCCATCTGCCTGTATATATAAAATCAGACAAAATTATGATAAGTCTTCCAACTCACACCGTTCTTAATACTTTCACCAAAATGGTTGATTACTCGGTTACAGTCGACCAAATAGTTCTGCTTAAGTATGGGTTGGTAATTCTCTTTGCCAATTTAGGGTCGGCTAAATTGCCAAAAACTGTATCGAGCGGAGGTTGTAAAATCCTATAGACAATCAACTATGGTTTTAGAGTTTTGGTCACGATTGTGAACTCGTAGTCATTCTCACTTATGAAGAAACCATGAATGAGTCTGGGTTTATCCCAGTTGACAGCTACGGAAAACAGGCATGTCCAGAACCAACAAAGAGTATGCTATAGTTAACAAGGAATTCAGCTGCGATCAATCTATTAACTACAGGATAAGACCAGTGGGCCATTCACATATAAGCCACAGAATTAATAATTAGAAGCAAGGGAAGAATAAGTACCTTAGCAGATTCAGCAGGAACTGTTCCATCACCATCCACATAAGAGTATTGAGGCTGTGGCCACCAAACCAAAAAGAAACACGCAGGAGTTGAATGAATCAAGTACAACAATGGTATAAACAAGCTAGGGTAATAAAAAGGGCGGACAGTGGAGGGTCTGGCACATATAAATTCATAAATTGTAGTATCAAATAGGTATTCTGGCATCAGTCTAAGCAGTTAATTCCACAAAAATGTCCAAACTCACTATTCAGAAGCGACAAGATGTCACTGGCAGCAAATGTAAATAGATATCCAACATCCTAGTGCATAATGATAATGGAGAATGAGAACACTCACCGTTACGTGGCACACTTCTGATAACTCGTCCACTGGGGATGTCTCTGAACCATAGCTGCAGGTACACAAGATGAGGGCAGACAACATAATGAAACATGCACCGTGATGATTTGATAGTTCAGCTAATCATCAATCACAACGGCTGCAAGTCATACAATCATTTGAAATAAACTATATCCACGCATTGGCCTAAGAAAATGGGAAGTAATTTGAGTATCCTCTCACCAACTTTATAGACGCGGAGAGAGAGAGAGAGAGAGAGAGAGAGAACATGTTAACTCTTTCAGTTAGTTGGCAACAATTAGCCCCAAACTTCATGCCATTACAATTACATACCATACATCAAATGGCGTGTCACATGATGTCCCATAGATGTTGTAGAAGGAGACCCCTTCTGGTAATTGAACATCATTGAGTATCTTACGGGTTTCAGTAGCCCATTTGAGGATAGACATGTTGAAAGGTAGAGGGATTGTATTTCCACCATAAGTTAGCTGCAACAAACTAGTTTGTGTCAAAATAATTCTGACTAGAGCTAGGGGTCAAAAAAGACCCTAAGCGACCAAACGGAAGGAAGTATCGGGAAATAACAATGATTTACTTGCCTCATTATTCTTCAATGCTTCTTCAAATAAACTTATGCTTTCAAGTAGCCCATAGGACTCCGCCTGGATAGAAGTATCATCATCATTTGATTGCTTCCGCCAAACTTGAATTTGAGGGTCTCTTTCCCACTTAAAGGCAGGGTTAGGCAACATCTCATAAATTGATGGACACTCCAGCAACTGTATCATAAGTCATAAATGCAAGAACAAATATAAGTAAATATTGGAAAATTTCAGAAAATTATAATTAAAAATTGGCAAATTTCCAGATAATATCAATCTAATTGATTTTATTTATGTTGCATGCGCTGACTCGACTGCTATTGCAGAATTAAAAAATGCTACTTAGTTTGCTGTGCTGCTTTTTTTCATAGAGAGCTACTCTCCTCTATTAGGAGAGCTACATGACAACCTTTTATGCACAAGCAAAATTCACAAGAGAGTAGTAGATCACCAGTTGGTGCATAGTCCATCTTGATACAAAAAAGTAATTCTCGAAGCCTTCAACAAACTGCAAGCCAGTTAAGATGGAATCATTGATGCACCCAGGGGCACCTATTCAGCACCAACAATGAAAGTTCCATGTCAAGGGTTGCTCTGATAGATTGAAGCAGCAAACAGATCATAACGATTTCAGGAAAATGTATTTATGAGGTTGAAAATCCATAGCAGGACCCTACGCCAGCGACTCTACAATCAATGATTTGAATGGTCAAGAGAAGCAAAATAGCTGGAAGCATTTCTTGCTCAACAGCATAAATAACATGCCTCCACTTATATATTCGTCCAGCGCTGAAGGAATCTCTTACGCTATTACATCAGATGGCACTACCATCTTTGCACTGTACCTTGAAAAGGGCATCCAATGCAGATCCACTTATTCACGAACATGGAGAAAACCTGCAGGCGGAAAAAGGTGTGGTGTCAACCATTTCTGTGGACACTGTAAAGATGATTCAAAACTTAAACACGTCCAACAGACTAAGAGCATACATCTTTGTATAGTGACATGAAACATGACACCAGCAGCCCCCCCATTGAATGCGTAATTATGTTGACTTTCCTTTTGCCAGAAGCTTCATAAGCAGTCTCCAACTTTGCTTTAAGACCTTCCATTGAATTACCAACCCTACCAGGGAAAATATTTCACTACAGAAAATTTGAACCTATCCTTATGTAGCAGTAATATGAAACCACTGGAACTCAGAGACATGATCAACATAACTATAATCAACAGAAATGCTGCTCTGCTGCCAAAAGTTTACCTATTACTTTGCCGGAAATCATAACCATATCCAAACAACGTGGTCCCCTTCTTATATCCACAGTTGACCAGCAATTCAATCATATCATGAAAATGATATACCTCTGTCAAGTGAACGCATTTTGCAAGCTGGAAGAGAGGCGCATGCCACATTAGAGAACTTGACAGGAGAGGTCCCAGGAACTGAAGAGAAATGATAATATAACCAAAAATAGAAGTTTGAAAAATAAAGCCAACACTTCCTAAATAGGCTTCAGCACATTTCAATATGCCGTGGATGGTAGAACTCCTAATATTCAGATGTGCCCTTCTAGCGCAAAGTACTACTCAGGATTGTACAAACTTCTCAAACTTGGTGAATAATCTATTTGACTAGAACAAAACTAGCATGCAGGTAAATCCGTAACCTTTTAACTTACACCGAGAGACCAGATGATTCCTCTCAATTGGAATGTGAGCAAACAATCAACCGCATAAGATCTAATGCAAGGACATGGCAGTGAGTGGGGTCCAAATGTTGCAACTCATGCTTGGAGGATCAATCATACTATTACTAGTCGCAAATTCACGTCTATAAGAGTCTAAGTGGTAATGTGGGGAAGAACACATGAAGTACAACATAGATTCAAGCCCTGGCCATCCCAAAATCAAAAAGAAAGCAAACAAACCCAAAAACATTTTACCGGATATTAGAAAGCCAAGTAATCAGTGGGTGGGAAGAAACCGAGTCTTACTGGTGATGGGTCCAGAATATCAATGGCGTAGAGTCCATAATCATCTTGAGGGACAACAATTTCGGAATCTTTGTTCAACACCTCCGTGTAACCTGAAAGACGCAGCAAGTGGTGCAGGCATGAAAGGTAAGAAGACCCCAATTCAAACTTTAAAAGCAAACTGAATGGATTCAGAGCAGAGCTTCTACTTGTCGGGATATTAGTAGAAGAGATAAAAAGAAACGAAGGCAGACACCAATAAGAGTGGAAGAATTTCAGACACAAAGGACAGTCAGAAAGGAGAAACACAAAACGATAGACACAGTGGGCTCTACGTCGATCGAATTTGGGTCGTCTCTTTTTGTCGTTAACAGCCACGGCAGGACGGGAAAGAGAGAGGAGAACAGAAAGGCGCGGCGCGGTTGAAGAAGAGGAACACAAGCTAAAACGAAGAGAAGAGGAAGGGACCTGTTTGAGGATTGTAAATAGACCAGGCTTTGTTCTTGAACTCGAGCTCGGCCAAAAGGAAGCGAACCCATACGCGAGTCTCGAGGCCGAACTTCTTGGGCTTGGAGTTGAGGATGGAGCCGCCCATGCCGGATATGAGAAGAACGGGGTCGAGATCGGAATCGGAGACGGCGGAGTGTCGTCCGTAGAAACAAGGGCAGAGCTTCAGCATAGACATAGCTGCTGCTTGAATGGTTTGGTTGGATTGATGAGTGGGTTGAGAGGGGAAGGTGGAAGAAGGGGCTGGAAGGTGTGTAGTATGTGATAAAAGGGCATGTGTGATAATGTCAAGGAAGGAGAAACAATGGCAGGTGGTTGGTACAGTTACAGTCTAGTCGAGTGCTCCCCTCCCCTCATGATTCATGATTGTGGAAATGAAGACTTTCAGTTTTCGCCAACCAACCATCCATCCGTTTTCGCGTGCTTCAAAATATTTTCCATAAGCATATTCCAACGAATATTAGATTTATCGTCATAAAATAAATTATTAAATATATCAAACATCAATCATCAACAAACATAATATAATATAATATAATATAATATAATTTAGAGCAATTTTTAGCTTTTCAATTTTTTTTGTCACAAGAGCAAAAATAGGAAGGTACATTGTTTTCATTGTTATTTATTTTTTCTTTTATTCCTATACAAATGTACCCTCCTAATATCAAAACGTAACTAATATACTATTTCATCTAATTTTTTTGTTAATTGACCGTTAAATGGACTGGAAAATAACCCAAATGTCCCTCATTTACTCTTTATATTTTTATCTTTTGGATTATAGGTATAATATGTCCATCTACTATGACGTTTTATCAAACATGTCCATCTACTATTTCATACATCAAACATGCCCTTGTACTTTGTAAATATGATCAAACATGCCATTTTGTTAAAATTTTCATCCAAAAACCGTTAACGAAGCCGAACTTTAGTTTGGGCGACACAAATGACTAAAATATCCCTAATAAATTCACTTTAGAATTTTTTTGGTTCTTTTGTATAATCAAATCATTCAAATAATTTCACTTTGAAAAAACCCTAGGAAATAAAACAGGGGACAAAACTGACATTTTCCCTCCCATTTGCCGATGTCGGGTCGTCTAAATCTCAATTCAATCATGATTGACGATTTTTTCAATGGAAATTTTAACAGAAGGGCATGTTTGATAATGTTTTCAAAGTACAGGGGCATATTTGATGTAAAAAATAGTAAAGGGACATGTTTGATAAAACGTCATAGTTGAGGGGCATATTATACCTATAACCCTTATCTTTTTTATCAAAATCAAATTAGTAACCTGTTTGGAAAGGCTAAATTTTGAGAAAATGGAATTCCAATTCTCAAATTTTTCATGATTCTCATGTTTGGAAGTAAAAAGGAAATGGAATTCCAAAAGGTAAAAAGTTGGAAATTCTAAATCCTACCAAAAGTGGTCAGAATTGGTGGAGGGAGTGATGGAATTAGTGGACCCCACATTAATTTTGACTCACCTTTACAAGAAATCCCTTACTATTTTTGGATTTGAAATCATTAATACCAAGAATATTATTGTAAAAGCACTTGTAAGAAATCATTTCCATTTTTTTCCAAACATAAAAAGATGAAATCATTTCCCAAACTTTTGGATTTGTTCCAAACATAAATTCTTAAAATGAATTCCCACTTGAATTCAGATTCTCACAAGAAATGGAATTCATTTTCCAACAGAATTATATCCAAACAAGTTGTAAGAATTAAAACACACCCTAAACCCAATTAAAAATCAAAACCCATCCTTTCGTCTGCCTTCCTCCCCGCCTTCATAGGAGACTGTCCCATCGATAGACTTGGCAAACCCTTGGCAGCGACTGCACCCGGCTCTACCTTGTAGGCGGCTGGAGAAGACGGCAGCGGGTGAGACGACGACACTATGGCACAGCAACGGGTGAGACGGGTGGAGAAGACAGCAGAGGGCGACTTCCGCAACTATTTCTTCCTCCATCGAGTCCGCCAAAAAAGAATCACCCCATCACCAAACCCCCAATTTGGCTACAACCAATTTCCCCTTTTTGTTGATTTGTATACCAATGGGAGAACCGATTCTTCAAGGGTCGCGGGAAGCAAGCTCTTGCAACCGGTGGATGGCATTTGACGAGACAAAGCATTCTTTGAGGTTGGGTTCCAATTTTTAATTGGGTTTGTATGTTTTAATTTTTATTTGGATTTTGATAAATGAGGGGAATTTAGGTTATTTTTCAACTTATATAACGGTTGATTAACAGATAATTAGACGGTAGGGTATATTAGTTATATTGTGATATTAGGAGGGTACGTTTGTGCAAAAATTTACTAGAGGGGTAGATTTTTTAATTTTCAATAGTACAAGGGTACAAAATGCTATTAACCCTTCATAAAATGAAGGCAAAATACACTTGTGTAGCCAAAACTTTGATGGTTTGGCCCAATATAGCCACATTTGGCGAAATACGAAAAATAGCCACTTTTGTCCAATTGTTTGAAGGTGTTAGTTAACGTGCTGACTGAACTAATGGAAAAGTCGACATATCAACCTTTTAGTCAATACAAATATGAGGCGGAATTAACAGAAAAAAAATAAAATATTTTTTATTTTTTATTTTCTCTCTCTCCCTCTCGGTTCTTTCCCCTTCCATTCCCCATCCGTCGTTCATCTTCATCGCGTTCCGCAACTACCCCTCTATGCTTACGACCCCTATTCCCTCCTTCGATTCTGTACAAAAACGGTACGACTACTACCAATTTCTTCCGACGAGGCCGATGGAGGAGACGAAACAGAGCATTCGCGTCATTGACGAGCACCAGATCGAGAATCCGATAGCCGCGGAGGAGGAGCCGGTGGTTGAGGAGGCGGACGAGACGACGACTGTGACGGCGCCGATGAAGGCTGCGCAGATCCTGCGGCCTCGCATCATGGAGAGGCCGGTCCGTAAGAAATCAGAGAGGACCAACACCGGCATCGATTCAATAGGGGAGATTCTAGGGTTGGAATTGAGTTTTTGAATTGGCATATTTGGCAATGGGATCAGCAGGCGGCTTGGTTTCCAGAGAAAGATGGGAGAGAGCTGAGTGTGAATCTCTGTCGGCGTTAGCGATCTTTCTTTCTATGGGATGCGATTCCGAAGGTTGATTCGAAGCAGTGGATGGTCATATTGGTCTGGAACTTGCTGGATATGATGGGAGTGGAGGAGGATTGATGAGCAGGGTAAAGCAGGGTCCTTTATGGGGTAGAAAATGGATTGGGTCGAGCTGGATGGAGGGAGAAGTCGTTACCGTTGCCAGGAGATTCGGTCGTCGGAGATACCGAAGATTCATAGTATGTTGTGGACGAGGACGCGTACTTGGGCTAGGGATTCGAGGGAAGAAGTGTGGACGTATTGAAATTGAAGAGGTCCCATATTGATTTAAGTTTGGGTGGAGATGATGGTGGGATCGCGGTGGTCGTAGATGGTGGTGATAAGGCAGGAGAGTATGTAGTGGCAGGTAAATAGATGTTATTTACTTATTGTTTTATTTATTAATTTATTTTGTTTTTAGTTTTCATAAAAAAATGTAGTTCAGATAAAAAAAGACTATTTGAATAAAAAATTATTATTTTCATTTATCCACCAGGAATTGTTAAAAGAAAAATCAAAATAATATGGCAATGATATTGATGACTTGTCTCTAACACTATTAAAGTTTGTAACGGAAATGGCTATATTTGTCATGAAACTTTCAAAATTATGGCTATTATTGGTATTTCACCAAAAGTAGCTATTATTGTCACAATCGTCAAAATTTTGGCTACACAGATAAATTTTGCCTAAAATGAAAGCGCATTAGTCTTGGAATTTGAAATATTGAAAAGACAAAAATAATAATCATTACCAATTACACTAACGGGTCGTTTGCTTCATAGATTTGAAAAATGAGGATTTCAAAAAACCATTGATATATTATAGATTTGAACAAGTCTATTATTAGCTTGTTGAATTTTGATTATGAATTTTTTTATTAGATTTGTGAAATATGAAACTCAAATTACGTCGTTACCCTTATCTAATTATATTTCTATTATAATCCAAACTTTTTGTAATTAACAAATTCAATACATACAAAAAAATTACTCTTTATCACTACTCTGTAAACTAATAATTCAAGAGTTAATAACTTATTTTAGCCCAAACTATACTCATATAGTCAACTTTGGCAAGTGGTTTCAGAAATTGTCATTCCGACCTCAAGTATATATCATATAGACTAAATTGGCTCGACGCGTGGTTTGACCGTCAGTTTGGACTGTCAACACCATTGATCGTTAGTCAGCGGTTCAGCTCACTACCATGTCAGCACCAAACCAAACCAAAACAATTCAAATTACAAATTATTTTTCATCTCAAGGGTGTCTCAAGCAACAAGGAGGAAAGATTGGCGTCACTTCATGGTTCTTTCTTCCCCTTTTGTTGTTTTTTCTTGTTTAGCTATGAAATAGCCTACCTACTCACTTGGGTATTGTGAATCCTAGTCTCTCTAGGTGTTAGGATGTAAGAACATGAACCTATTTTGTTGATTGAGTGTTTTATATGATATTTGAGGTATGATTCATGAATAATTGAGTGTGCTAGCTTTAACTCAATATTGGGTAAAATTGACCTAGAGGGTGGAAATCCCCTTTTGGTCCAATAGGAAGCTAGACTTCTTAGCCACTTGGGTAACCTCCTTTAGGTCGATTTAAGACAAAAAACTTAAGTATCAGAGTAGGGCTGTAATTCCACCTAGATTGGTCTCTCCGCCGACAAGATTAAGTTCCGACGGTTTGGTTTGCAATCCTTAGTCTTCTAGTCGAGAGGGTTAGGTTTCCTAGCCTATAGTTGCCACCCTTAGCAGAAAGGTTAAGTGATTTATATTTCTAATTTGTTGCAACGATTCTCAATTAGCTAACTAAGAGAGTCAGGGATCTCCTTGGTTGATTGGTAAAGAGGGCTAGGTTCCCTAGCTATGAATCACAATCCTTAACCTAACGGTTAAGAGAGCTAGTTCTCTTAGCTTATATTTGTTGATTTTCCTTCACTGATCGACTAAGAGAGTTTGTCCCTAGCTATTCGCACCCACCTTGTGGTGTATGAACACTTTCTTCACACTAGAGCTTTGTTTGTCGCTTCTTAGCATGAGACTCGGGGGAGCAATACCCAGGTGAAGTCCCCTCAAGTAGAATTCTCCTCAAATTACTTTCCTTGCTTGTTTAGTTTGTAGTATTCTTAGTTATAAACCCAAAACTATTTTGCTAGATGACAACTTAAGCGATTGAAGTAGGGGAACATGGACCAGCCCGGGTTTGACAATTAAATACTTGCCCCATACTGCACCTGACTAGAGTTTAAAAACTTGGGCTCTAGTCGGGATTAATTCGCGGTGTAGCTTCGTGTGAGTCAAGTTTTTGGCGCCGTTGCCGGGGAACCGCGGTCCATTATTTTGAAAAGGTCGCTTAGTGTTACTCTAGCATTTTCTATCTTGCCTTTAAGTTTGTGTTTTGTGTTTCGTGTGTGTTTTGTTTATCACTCTTCATCTTGAAGGGTGGTTTGTGTGTTTGATTTTTCGTTTTAGTGTTTTGTGTTTGTAGGTATTGGATCATGGATCCTTATGATTTCACCCAAGTGTGGGGGTATCCACCACTACCCGAGAGTGATTACCCCGGAGCTTCATGGGACAATCAAAATTGGGGGAGTCAAGGATCCGGATTCTACTACCAACCTCCCTTCCAAGAAGAGTAACCATGCTCATGGGGATACCAACAACCTTTCCCATATCAAGAAGGTTTCCATCCACAACTCGAGGTGAAATCCAAGTTGGAGTTGGCCATGGAGGCTTTCATGGGACAAACCTCAAGACCATGTGCCACTCCACAACCGGAGCCAAAGAGCAAATTAGAGCTCATGGTGGAGCGATTTGCCAAGGGCACCAATGAAGGGTGCTCTAGCAGGGACCTCCCAATTGCCAACCCTCTCGACTCAACCTTTCTTCGAGGATCAGAGGAGCTCCTTCGACGCACGGAGAGGCTAGGAGGGTTTGTAGAGCAAGCATGTGCACAACTTGCTCACAATCGCCTCCTACCATTGGAAGAAAGAGAGGAATTCAAAGAGGGGAGCCATGAGAATTTTGGAAGAACGAGCTCCGACATGGATTTCCAGCCCCTCCCTCCTCCCGGCTTGACACTAGAAGACAAGGTGGCACGAGCTTGTGAAAGCAAGAAAGAGGAGGTTGAAGGATCGATCAATGACAACTAAGCGGAGCAAGACGAACTCACACCGAAGAGCTCCCGTGGTGAAGATGAACAAAAAGGTTGCATTGACGATTCTCATTACTTTCCCCTTCACGAGAGCAACTTTGAAGATCGAGTCCCGAGTGGGGAGGAGCAAGAGAATCCTTTCTATGATTTTGCATGGCATATTGCCCTTCAAACCGTGCTTGAAGACATGAATGGGAAGTTCGAAAAAGAGGTTGAAGAGGAGGAAGTGAGCATTGAAGAAGGGGAAGATCTTGATTGTTCCCAAGGGGAGGAACGAATGGAAGAAGAAGGAGTGGAGGATGAAGATGAAGTAGAAGGAGAAAATGGTGTCAAAGATGAGGATGAGGTCGTGGTGGATGAAACATCCACGAGTTATAAGAGCTACCAATGATTTCCATCCGACCTCGATGCAATTTTGGAGAAGGACCCGTTTGCGGCTCTTTGCCAAGCCAAGACCAAACCATCGGCAATCCCTCTTGGTGGATGTGATGGAAGTCGATCGAGGTTGCACAATATGGTGTGGGGCAAAGAGAAAAGTGAAGAAAGAAAGAATAAGAGGTCTCGTGGGTGGAGCCTCAAGAAAAATCAAGTTCACGAGCCCTCAATCATGGATTCGTCCAAAGCTCGTGACTTGAGACAAAGCCTCACCAACGAGAACCTCAAGTTCAAGGAGGTTCTTGGGTGGATCGAAACTTGAAGAGCAACCGTCTGGCTCAAGATGTTAAAGAAGCGCTTGTTGGGAGGCAACCCAACCACCATCAATTTGTTTCCTTTGGGCTTCAATAAGTCGACCTTTTGTTTTGCCGCCTCCTTGCTCTTCCGGATCTCACCCGCCCTCCGCTCCTGAACACCAACATTCACCACTATCCGGTAACATCATTCTACGTCCTTCTTTACGCCATTGAGGGCAATGTCGAGCTTATGGGGGGGGGGGGGGGGGTAGTCCATTATGCATGTGTGTGTGTAAATGTTTTGGTGTGATTTTGAATGCTTGGAGCTTAGTTGTATGCCCAAATTTTTAAAATTTGAGGGCTCCAAGCATAGCAACTTCTACATTTGCATGATCGTAGTGGCACTGTTGGTGATTTGTTTTGAATTTCGTGGTTATTAGCATTGTCTATGGATAATTTGCTTGTTATTATGTGCAACCTATGATGATGATTGAGACATGTATTAGGTTTGTGCATTGGTTCATTTCTCATGTGTTTGTGAACCAATAGATGTTTTGAATTGATTACTTGCTTTTCACAGTTGTCTATGCATCGAGTTTATGGAATTAGAACGAATGATTGAGCACCTAGGTAGCCATGTGATACTTGTGTCGTTCGTTTCTTTTTTGTGCGATAGATCCCCCTTTACATGATGTGTAGCAATTCACGTTGTTGCTAGCGAGAAGATGGAGGCATAGGTGATTCGGGCCTAATTGTACATGTTTTGCACCCATTTTACTTAGGTGTTTGTGCCAAATTCACTCCTAAAAGGTTGGTTTTACGCTAGGTTCCTTGTGTTTTAGTGTGTTTCAGGATTCGACAGGTGAAACCAGTCTCAGAGTCGAAAGTTGGGCAAAAAGGATCGAAAACCGGGAGAAGAGGTGAAAAAGGGCCAGTTCACGGTTTTCCCAGGAAGTTCACAGTCATGCAAGACCGTAAAGAGGAGCCCTTGACTGTGAATCGCGAGGCGTCCAGAGCCAAAATGAAGGTTACTGACGCATGATGAGTTCGCGGTCTCTAAGACCGTGAACAAAGGCAGTTGACCATGAACAGAAGTGAGCGATGCGGCGCGTTTTGGCGCACACCTGAAGTTCACGGACACGTTACGTGGTTCACGGTCGTGAACTCAGCTCATCTCTGGTTTAAATGATAAGCTGAAAGGAGGAGAGAGGAGAGATTCCATTTTGTGTGAAAGCCTTCTTCAACATTCTAGAGAGAGAAACATGAACCAAAGGGAGAAGAAGGCTAGGGTTTTGCTTCAAGGCAGATTTTGGGAAGATTTCCTCCAAGGAAAGCTCAATTCAAGGGCCAAGAAGACTAGGAGCATCCTCCAAGATGGTTTCCTCCTCTTTCCCTTTTGTTTTTCCCACTTCTAGCATGGAGTAGACCTCCTTTCACTTGGGTGTTGTGAAACCCTAACTCTACCATGTAG